AACACAAGTATCCATTTGTCGTCTTTTAATCCTGCTCAAATTGTTATGTAACGCATCGTAAGCCTATAAACTCTCAACCGTAAGAGTTAGAAAATATTAATAGGCAATCCGTGTGGTTACGGATTAAGAATACAGAGTGTCACCACCCCTATTCATCCCGTGGGTGTCGTAAGAGGCGACTAAGGGACCGAACTACGCAGGACAACAGCACTGCAGAGAGAAGGAAAACTAGACATAAACCCTATACCAACCCGTCTGGCCAGCGTGTTATAGTAGGCCAAAACCTCCTTTCTGAGGAGAGGCTTATGTCCAGCAGTGGACTATTAAAGGCTGTTGATGTGAATAGGCAATCTATTAAAAGGAAATCTTATTAAATAAGGCAATAGATTCTTTCCACACTTATATTTTAATGTCAACGTGAGTTTGTTTCGCGTTCACGTCTAAACCAATAAACCAATTTTAAAAATTCTTTTACCGATAGAAAGCTACATCATCAGCGAGTAACATAAGATACTTTTTACCGCGATTGTAAAACGCGGGAAAACGCTAGTATAGAATATATGGTATATTGGGGAATATAAACAATAACCAGAATAGCATATCTATCGCTATTTAAGTTGAGTTATGCTTAAACTGGCTGCTACCAGACTGATTAAGCACTCAAACCATGATAGGTAGGTAATCTTTTGACAAACATTTATACGAAGAGTCAGAAATTTATAAAATTAAGATATTTTAGTCCCTATATTAGATTCAATTAGATATACAACCTGTTCCGGTTTTTAAACCCTAATATCTTTAACTTATCTGTATTAAATCTACTTTTTGTTATACAATAGATATACCTGCCAATAATAAGTGGATACAAACGGCAAGGAAAGTCCCAATGATGGTACAAGACACTTGAGCATTAAAACTGACAGATAATCAAATCTTAATCTACTTAGATATTTAAATCCATACATATCGTTGTACTTAAGTCGCGTGCTAAAGTTTAACATGTAAACACTACGATAAACGAGGTGGATTCAACAACAGTTCTTCGGTTAATCTTAGATAGACGATGTAACTGAAAGCCTCATGTGGAGAAGGATTGTTTCAATAAATATTTCGGATAACTGATACACAACGCCGTCTAATTACAAACTAAGCAGAGCTTGTACTATGAACTATGGAAGTTAGATTGACTGATAGAATACTTATGTACTGTTTTATAAAAAAATACATATTATAAATAGAAAACACCCAAACTCCGAAACAAATATCTATTTGCAGATCATACAAACATTTGGTCCGACTCGGGAATCGAAACCCGAAACCTTATAACAGAAGTCGACCGCATAACTAAAACTGAACCATCGAGGCACTTCAGTAAACTTAAGTAATCTCACACACAGCCGTCTGATCCCTAACTAGACAGAGCCTGTACTATGGTAACCAGACTGCTGATAAACATACTTATATATTTTTAAATACATACATATTATAGATAAATTACAACCAGACACAGAACAAATGATCGTGCTCATCACACAAACATTTGTACATTGGGAAACGAACCCACGAGCTCAGGATTATCAACCGGCATTACAAAAACCTAGACCAATACGCCCCTCAAACTTAAAACAAAATTGTCCACAGAAACTTTCCGGTACGGTCTTAAGTCTGATGGTTTAGGAGAAAACTATTGAATTTCCGTGTACAAAAGAAATGCGTTTAAGCTCTTCTGTACTGTCGTACTGTCAGTCTATTGTAAAAAGAGTGACAGTACGACGATGATAACACTTCATGGTAACACTGTCCTTCAAGTAAATAGGATTGTCCTAGTTTGAATGTTTGTGTCTCACTATTTGTAAGCCTATCATCAACAGCCCCTAACAATCCACTGCTGGACATAAGCCTCTCCTTACAAAGGAGGTTTTAAGCCTACGCCGTAATATAATTGATAATTAATATACCGAAATATGTTATGTAATCACTTAATTTTGTACTCTAGGCTAAGTTTTTATGTAAATAAAGTTTTTATTATTATTTTTATGTCGAATTTGTTCTTTTTCAGCTTTCGCTGGTACTATTTTAGTTCTTGGGAGAAGTTAATTATGTTTATTCGTCTATTACATTGTGTATCTGTTCGTTTATTTGTAGAAATTTTCTTACGATTCTGCAAGTGTTTAATAAAGCACCATTTTGAAGTAGCATGTAGGTATTGGGTTTTATTTTTATCATTATTTAGAGAAAGTTACAACTCATTTTGAAAAAAATAACAGATTAAAGGTTACTACATATTTCTTGGCGAATTTAGTTTAAATGATGGCGAGATATTGTTGTTTGCTATCTAAGAACGAAAGGTAAGGGGACTCTTAAAATACTATCGCTGAGTAACTAGGTACTTTATTTTGAATAATAATAATATTGTAAGTATTATTATTGAGCTCTAGTGTTGAAAAGCAATAAACGACAAGCGTTAGTGACACTATTATTTTTTATTGACCATAAACAATTGTTAAAATGTCTTCGAAATTACCATAGAGCGTGTAGCGTTGGTTTTGGAATGCTTTTATTTAAAATATATTTTAATACAATCGCTTGGCGTGTTTCTGACTATGTATCTGTAGTTAAACATTTCATCACTGAAACTTTCAAAATACAAGGCTATATCAAAACAGTGGAAGTATTTACCAAGGCATCGATATAAGTCTTGACGAGGGCAATTCCTTTGCAGTTCACCACTTTCTCGCACACTTTGAGTAGCACTGTGTCACAAATCATTGTCCACAGCGGATTAATCCCGCAAACTTTACACTGGTGTGTTCACTAACGCATATTACTTCGGTGTCTGTATTACAGTTGTAGGTAAACCAACGGATGGAACGCAATGCGTCCGCACTGAGTACAACACTAACTTGAGTAATTACCACATCACACTGCACAATAATTTTGCGTAATTCTATACTAAACTTTTTATATCAGTTAACGTAATTTCATAATTTTATTTATCACACGTTCTTGTTTGCTTATATTTGTTGATTTAAGGGAAATTGACACGGTATTTTGTTTGATTATTAGCACAGATAGTATCTACTGTACACATTTGTTTTTTTAGCGTATCATACGAACTACTTTCTAATTATTAAAATACATCACTGTTTTTATTTTTAATACGTTTTAAAGGCTCAGTAATCACGATAAGTTTTCTTTTAGAAAAATATATTGATTTGTTGAACTTTGATGATCTTTAACACACAAGTTTGTGAACTTACGTATTCAACTTAAGCGATAGAACTAAACAGGCTGTTCTACCTTAAAACCTTAATTACCTTGTTATCTAATGAACAAAGTTATTTAGTCCTAATATACGGAACACGTTTAACGAGAACTTATACATATTTTTATGTATATGTCATTGTTTCTTTCTATATATCGCTAGAAAATTCAACGTTATCATCACAGCCGTGTCTTAAAAATATTTTGAACTAATTAACCGTCTTTAAGGATTAGCTGTACGCCATTAGAATTGCTTTTGTACCGCAATTTAAAGACGGAAAAATATAAAAAAAACAGAAAACTATTTGATGATTTAAAAAAAAATATTTTGGATCTATTCTATTCCATCATACTATAGACACCCGAGAGCGAGAGATATGTTTATAAAAAAAATTGCATTCTAATCTGGAGGAAAGGATGTCACGTCCCTCTAACACAAAGGGAGGATCCTCCGACCAGGCGACGTCATGCCTGGCGAGCCGCGGCCTAACGCTTGATGTTCAGAAGTTAATATATGCTAATCGGCGTGAGAACTTTTTATATCGCGATACAGAATTAGCAATTACTCTGTAGTACGGTGTGTCTCCGTAAGATGGCACTGAAATATGTCACCACACTTACATCTTACTCCAGTACACAACAATATCGCTATCCGATCACACACCGATTCCCGTCACCGCAAAAGATTACGCTCGCATCAAGTTTGCCATTTCGATTAACCTACTGTTCGAGAAACCAATGAGAGACAATGGTCATTCGGTTAACCACAGACAACAGCAAGAAATCGCTGCATATTTAGGCCTAGAACGGCTGCCCGTGCTATGATAAAAGAAGTAAGTAAAGTATAATTTCTTGTCAAAATCCGAGTTCCCAGAAAACTTTGGCAACTTGAGACAACTTCCTCAGTTTTCTGGTACCTACTCTAAAAGATGAATGAGACATTGCAATGAATACTTAGCACAGTAGGTTATAAAAAAAATTAACGCTATGTTTCAGTCTGGACATTCAATGAGTGAAACGGAACATCCCACTTCACTCCAACGATAAGCTTATTCGTAAGTTGTAACTCAGGAAATCGTCTTCAAAATCTAGACAAGACACGAAACCCTAGTGACACAGACAGCTACAATGCAAGATTACCAAATAATATATTATCTTATACAATTTCCTCTTCACAAAATCTTTTGTGATACGAATGAGGTTATAACCTTCCGTTTGGTTGATTCATTGGTTTGCGGAAATAACCAAACGAGAGTAATAGTTTATTTTTTGTTAAAATACGAGTACATAATCTGATTCACCGATGCATGTTTAGTTAATTTTGGCTCTGCTTCGTGTATCTTGTGGCTTTGGTGTATACGGTTGCACACTATAATAAACAATGTAGTTAGCGTTTAATTACATTCCACATATGGCGTTCGGGATTTAATTTTTTTTTTTTTTTTCAAATACAACCGTCTTTACAGACAGTCCTTAAATCCTGTCACTTTACAGTTATAGTAGCATTTTTATAGAACTATCATTTTATTTATTTAAGAATATTCGATTAAATTAACTTATACTTATTAACGATTAAATTAATTATTGGGCTGGCAATTGCAAGAATCTTAGTAAAATATATTTAATTATATTTGATTGATGTATTTTGCGAATATTTTCATTTCTATATCTTTCGCTCTTTGTTACCTTTCATACTGATACATTTTAGATATTGTGTCATCTTCAATAGGACTCACCTCCAAATCCCTAAACACATCCCTTATGTCTGGCTTTCTTGCTCTGGAAGCAGCTCGCTTTCTCCTAACTGTTCTGTTGAGTCTTCGAACCCTCCGTCGAACTGCTGCAGCTTGTTCCCTGGGCAGAGGCCTAACTGCCTCACCCAGTTGGGCCTCGGTAACTTCCAAACCGGCCTGGAATGGTGCCGCCAGAGAACCGAGGCCAGCTGACTGCAGCCATTCGGTTTCCAATTCGCCTTCTGTGCAGACAAAGAGAAGAAATTAATTAGTAACATAATTTTTTAAGAATTTTTTAATGTCATTTGTTCGATTTTTGAATTCGTGTCATTGTTAGCAGCACAGAACTATTCAGAAATCTTTTTTTTTTAATAATATATTTCACGTATATGTTCCGTGCCTGATTTGAATGAAATATTTATTTCAAGATAATTAAGGATAATGCGTTATATTTCTATTAGAGAAAATGGCGCGGAAAAAGAAAATCAAGCTTGTGCTGGTAGGTATTATGTATCAAAAATGGTCTACAGATTAAATTTTTCAAACAATAAAGTTGCTTGCTTGTTAGGTACTAATTTGAATCTGATATTTTTTATAGTAATGGAATCAACAATATTTGCTAGCGATAAAAACAACAAAATTATTTAATTCGGAGTGTAATGAACATCATATCAGATTATCTTTTTGTAACCCATGACTGAGGGATAAAAACTTACAATACGAGTAACCGCTTCGGATCTTTTTGTTTAAGCAAAAATCTTCCGCCATTTTTTTTTTTGCTTGATCGACTCGATACGTCATTGAAGTACATTCGGAAACAAAATGAAATTTGCTAAAAAAATTTAATCGCTCATTAATTTTTCAATTTGTTTTTGTGTTAATGTAGAACTAACATAGTTGTAAGATTACTGTTACTAACATATCTATGGACTAATGTCTGAAAATAAATAAATTTATTATTAATCGTTACTAATCTACCTTGAACGTTAACATATATGGAGTTTTACAGATAAGTCAAATAGGAGCGTTATTTCGACAAGTAGGTCATTGAACTTGGGTGAAAAATGGATTTTGAATTCCTTTTTTTTTATAGTTTCAGAAAAGTTTAACACTCGATCAAGATCCTTGATAAATAAATTAAAAGGTGGTATCCGCATCAATTAAAACCACAAAGGATGCTGCCACGGTTCAGCTTCCATCAAGGATTTCTATTTTAATCTTCCAAGACTGAAATTCGTGAGACCCCAGTAGACTTGGCTGCCAGCCGAATAGCAAATGACCTCACTGGGGAATGTAGTAGCCTTACTTCATTTTACATTAGTTTAAGTTCATTGACCCCCTCTAGTTATTAATATCCTTTGCCAGGTATAAAAGTCAGAACCGGAAATATCGTGCAATAATTTCAATACTTATAGTACTGCTGTTGAAGACTGTACCTTTGTTTAAAGACGATCTTTAACAAGGTCAAGAAACTTATTTGCACGCACATGGTGTATTCGACTTATTTATGTTGGCAACACCGTGATCTTGAGTTACTAAACTACCAATGAGGAAGTTATGAGTTTTATTGCCAGTACGCGTTCTAAAAAAATTGTCTATTGTCTATCTGCCTTTTTGCGTGTACCTAAATTATCTGAATTAAGGAATTATTAGCTATGATTGGTTTTTATCTTTATCTTCATTTTTTATTGTATGAAAAACGAATAATTTGGTATAAGTACGAGAATACAAAATTAGTTAAAAAACTGTAATGCTGGTCTTGCAATTTATGTGGCTGATTTGTTTAAAAAACCCCAGGTTTTATACCATAACCAAAGTTGTCATAAGGCTTTCAAATTAATCGCTACAAGTGTAATAAGTTGTGATTTTTGAAACGCCTCGTAATAAAAAGTACATACAGCCAACTTATGGTCGAATATATTTAACTCGGTATAATTTTTTGCTCGGTTATTTTACTCTAAACTGCACAACTTATAGGATATTGATACTCTCATGCGAATCGATTACTCTCCCATACATGACAATTGGAATATTGAATATCGATTTTCGATGTCATCGGCGTGATGACCAGAATGGATACTTTTACTTCTCAAAAGAGTTGTATCATTTATTTGGGAATGAACGGGCTTGGGAATTGTACAACATGTTGATTCTCCTCTAAACTGCCCAACTTAAAGAGTATTGATACTCTTAAGCGAATCGATTACTCTCTCAAAAATGACAATTTAAATATCGATTCTTGATGTCACCGATGATATTTAATTCTCATAATCAGTTAAATAATCTCTAAATATCAGTTGGTATAGAACTTTTAAATTACTACGCGAGTTAGACAGTTATGACAGTTAGCTAACTCCGTCAGTTTCTGACCAAAGCCAGTATAATTGACGCTTAAAGATTGTCGTTCTATTACTCTATTACTTATGTCTATCAGAATCGATGTGTTTAAGTCACTAACAGATGAAAGTATCTTTTGCGTCATTGATGGCTAGTCTGACAAAATTGGGGGATCGTTTAAAAAGTTGGTTAGTCTCGCAAGGGGTCGCTAACCAATGCATTAGCCACAGGATGGTTTCATTCGCACGCGCGATTACTAAATATAGTTCGTCTGTCTGTCCTGTTATGACTCATCGGTTAACGCCATAAAGGTTCCTTTACACTAGTTTCTTTACTCAAATCGAACACCACATAAATATTTGTTTTTATAGTACAGCTTCGGCCTAATTTGGGATCAGACAACCGTGTGTGAGATGTATCAAGTTATTGTCATTTTGTTATAAAAAGAAGGCAAAGGAAATCTTTATTGTTGACTGTAAATTGACGTATTATTTAAACTAAATTAACTCGTAAGGAGTTTCCTTTAAAAGCATTAAAGGTATTGTACGTATATTGTCGGTATTTTAAGGTAACCCGCTTGATGTCAATAGCAAATCGCATCGTTTTAATGGGATTTCAAAAGTTAATATAACTGACGACTATATGTTCCTGGACGAGTACATAGTGGTGTATTAATCGCATAGATATTATTATGGATGCTATATTTTTCTTCCTACCTATTAAGTAGTGAGCCTTTTGCCAGGCATATGTCATAACTCTGTCCTGTTACACAGAACATGGTACTAGGTCTGCCCCTATCCACCAATTAGGATGACTGTCTCTTTTGTGCCCTTCCATAAACTTGATGAACGGAGATGAGAACGGATCGTAAGCCCACTCAGGAGCTGTAACCAGGGTCCTTCGACGTAAGAGAGAGAATAGACATTAATTAGTAGATAATTTATTCATAAACCAATATGCAAAGACCTTTATTCGGATGATTTTTGTATCGTTTCGTGCGGTTGAAATATTGTAAGCGTTTTGTAAACAGATCTGTGCTTGTGTATAGCGGACACAGTGCAGAAGTTGTTTTAATACTAAGTTAATCGTGATTTATACAAGTTTGTTTATGGTCGTAATGAACTCGTATTTTTAGAGTATGAGGGTGGTTTGAATCAAGTTCTAAATGGATGTGCTGTTATTCTAATCTGATGTATAGGTATGTTGATAGTTAATTAAGTAGTTTTAAGTAAATGAACGCTAATAATGATAATTGAGTGGGTATTGGTAAATATATTTGTATGCGGTTTTTCGTAACAACTGCGAAGTCACATTGCAATAATGGCTAACATTTTTTTTCAAACTCAAACTCTCTTTATTTCATAAAAAAAATTCAAAATTGTTTGAAATCGTCTTTTATGTTCTCAATCATCAAACAATCTCTGTTTTGTCAAATAGTAAGCAAATAAATTTAACTTTTATGACGTTCATTGACCTTTTAGAATTATAGAATACTCTAGCTATTGCCAATGATTCTAAGAATCCTTTCTTAGTAGGTACGTGCAACATAAAAAGAATCAGCTGCAAAAATTTCAAGTTTGTATCCCCAGCGGTTTAAACTCTGCGTTGATGAATCACTCAGTCAGGGCAATTATTTTTATGTATAAACTTTTCGAATTTTCTGTATAATTAAAGCCATCTGATGATAGTGTTTATATTGCTATAAAATACTAAGATACAATAGTAGTAGCTGAGTGTTGTGAGTACGTTCCCCCACACGGGACAACACTTTGTGTGATCCACAAATTGTTGTTCTGAGTCTGGGTGTTCTTTGTGTCGTTTCATGAATGTTTGTAAAGTCCCCCGCGACACATGATATATTCCTTTTTTAAATAAAAAATTAAACAATGTGTTCCTTTGATTTTCTTAAATTTTTTGAATGATGATAAATAACTAGGCCTGATATTTGAACCTCATAGGTCCTAGGCCCATGTTGACATATAAGTTCAATGACCCTAAAAGTATTTTATTTATATACCTACTGTGCTTTTAGAAATGGTTTAATAGTTCTTGAAGCCAATTTTATACATTGGCCATTTATTATATTAATAAACTATATAGACTAGATAACTCGCTACAAGATTAATCACTTCGATTTCTAGCAAACAGCCAATTATCTACAATTTAATTAAAAATTGATGCTAACGACTAATCGCTGACTTTGAATGTAAATAATTTAATTATGAATTACTTTATCGGATATCCAAACGTAAACAATGAAAGCAATTAAGACTCAACAGTAATAGCTATTTGTTTACAAATGATTATTTAAGCAATCTACAAATGAAATAATTATATAATGATCGCATTTGGACTCCACAGAAGCCAACTGTCATAGACAAAAATAAAGTTATTAGGTTCTTAGAAATGTCAATGGTCATTTCAAACGACGAAAAGAAAAAGAAAATTTAAAAACCATTAGGCACTGAGTATATACAATAGGGTAGATTCCTAGGTTTAAAATAAATTATTTCGCCTGTATCATTAAATCTAACATCTCAAAGTAGAGGCTGAATTGTCCTCCATCGTCAATTTGATTTTTTTATTCATTTGATATCTTGAAATCAACGTTAAATATAAATGATTTGACAATAACTAGGTATGACGTCACGAAATAGTATCTCATACAAAAATGTACCGCGTCCAGCGTTTTGACGTTTAAAAAAAAACAGTTATTTGACTTGACAGTCATCTACCCTATTAGGAGGCCTAATACGAGAAGCTTATGAAATATGCGTTTAAAGGCTAGTTACGCGTATAATAAGTATAATAATTAGACTTGCAACGAATATTCGGTTACTATTCGGTATTCGGCATATTCGGCTGCTTTTATTATATTCGGCCGAATACCGAATATCTACATATT